ATCATTGTAAATAAATAAATAAATAAATAAATAGACAAATAAATAAATAAAACCTACATTTATCAGATAAATGTGTATTAGGGCTGTCAGAATAAAAAATGTGTACTTCTTCCCACTCCTTTATTGAACTTGTTAATATTATGATTTGACTATGTGATATTATTCGTCTTTTTTGCTCTTTTTAAAGTTATTTTCTTCTGTTTTTATATATTTTTTCCTTTTCCATGTGTTTGAAATAAATTCAATTCATTCATTCATTCAAAAGAAAATTAACGTGTTAATGTAAAGAGATTAATCTGTGGAATTAACATGTTCATTTTTAATGCATTAATGTGTGACCACCAAATTTTTTGTTCTTGGGTTTTTAAAATTTCAACTTGGGGGGTCACGAACACAAACTTATGTTATCTTGGGGGTGGCTGCTCCAAAAGTTTGAGAACCACTGGGTTAAACCAATCACAGACATCCTGGGTGGGGTTAAGCCCAGGATTCAGCAACAGTGTCCCCTTACCATTAAAATGACTAATTTACATACATTTTTTAAACGTATTTATTTATGTTTAGCTGGGCTGCCTTCTTACTGTACAATCCAAGTCCTCAGCAACGTTGAAATGTTCATTGAGTCAGGTTGTTAATGCACATCCAGCGGCAGCATGCAGCCAGGTGATGCTAATGTGCTTGTATTTCTGCTTTTCAGAACAAAAGGAAGTTTTATTAAACACCTGGGAGTTCCTTCCTTTTGTCCAAGTGTTCATCAAAAAGCCAAAAAGGTGGAAATGATCAGCCATGGTGTCAAATAAATCACTCCTGATGTTTCCTCTAGCATCTAAAAAACACCGTACAGACGTGTTAACGAGATAAAAAATAAAGACGAGTGGGATCTTTATTACTTCAACGACACACTAAATCACATTTAGACGTGTTTGTTGGTTGATACGTCAGCTAGACCGGTTATCTGGCAACAAACAAAGAACAGCAATCAATTTATATTTGCTGGTAATGATGCTAATTTAAATTAAACAGTGTCAGACTGGTTTGTGACGAGAGCTGCAGTTGGAATTATCTGAGGAAAGGAAATACAAATGGATCAGAACAGACAGAACAGATGTGTTTGTTTGTTGTCTTTGACCAAACACTGAGTGAGACAGAATGGATCGTGCACCAAAAAGCTCCTCCAGAGGGAGCGTTGGGGGGATTAAGATACATGCCGTGATTGGTTGGAGACAAAGATGTTCTCTCTCTATCAGCTTTCTGTACTTTCTACTGTACTCTGACTAATAAAGAGGAATAAAAACTGTCTTCTTGGAAAAAGAGAATTAGCCAGAGGCCTGGCAGCGGTCGCCAGCCACAGGGAGCAGCTCTGATGAAACAATGTGATGCTACTAAGACAGGAGGATATTATGCAACGTGGACCTTTGCTTTGGCCCGCGCTAGCATTTCATCTGTGATCTTTGCTCTCGCTGAATCCGGGCTTGGACAGAGATTCGCTGATGAATGCGGCCTCCCCGAGGCAGCAGATGGCGAGTTCCTGACTCAGCATCATGCATGTTTCGTGTCAGCACACCTCACAATCCTGCAGCGGAGCCGAGAGGCCGGCGATTCCTCTCCAACACCTGACGGCCGGGCGAGGGTTTGCTAATTATAATGAGCTGTTGTTGGAGAAATAACAATCGACAAGGGGAGCAGTGTGGGTGTAATGAGAGGGGAAGACGTGAAATGTAGAAATGAATCTACACCTGTTGCAGTCACAGATGCGAAAAGAAAACCTGTCCTACTGGAGAGTCTGCAGAATTTAAATCAGACTTGATAATGATGCTAATTGTGATTGAATCAGCCCGTATGGGACCATGTGATCATGGAAAATGGGATCAGTGACAAAGACAAGGATTCATGTATTTAGATGAATTACAGTCTGACACAATAACAGATAATAAAGGTGTGGTAGTATCACAATTATTGAAATCTATCATACTTCACCCTACTGGTCCAATAAACTGGACCTGTTCTGGTGACTTCTGAACTTAAGTCCCATGTTTGACCTGAAGCAGTGCATTCTGGGGCCAGATTTTCTTCTTTTTCTTCACATATTCTTGCTATAGTGACTTTTTTTCCCCACAATTCAACTTCTACAATAGAAGAAAAAAGCTTATTGAGTCAACTTTTTCAGTCAGTGTTGGATTATGGTGACATTTTACACATTTCGTTGTAAAAGAGAAAAATCTGGAAACAAAGACAAAATACGGTAAAAACAGTCGAATACTATAACACCCCAAAACCTGCAAACATTAAACAAAACCTTTTTTTAAAAAAAGCATTTTTAGCTGATTTAAATACAGTCAGACAGTGATTTTACAGTCGCACAGGATAAATTACTATTTATAAAAATGCAAATTTTTGATTTTTTTTGTTTGTTTTGTTTGTTTGTTTGTTTTTTATTTGAGTGATTTACTAGTTGTTGTCTGCAATTTAACAAAACAAAAAAATATCTGAAAAATCTAAATTTAAAAGATTATTTACAATCTTTAAAATCCTCAATATATATATTTTTTTCGTCATTAAAATAACAATAGTTTTGCTGATTTAATAAAGTAAAAACCGTCAATACACATTAAAAATACAACTAAAAATACTCATTTTTGATGTGGACTTGTAAATGAATACTTTCCCCCCAGTGACTTTCTGAGTTATTATATGTAATTTAACAAAACAAGGAATATCTGTAAAATAGAAATTCAAAGATTATTTACCATTTTTTCCAATCCTTAATAAACATATTTTTTTCTTCATTAAAATAACAATAGTTTTGCTGATTTATATACAGTAGAAACAGTCAATACAGATAAAAAATAAAGTTTAAAATACTCATTTTTGATGTGGATATGTAAATTAACACTTTTTCTTCCCCCAGTGACTTTATGAGTTCTTATGTGTAATTTAACAAAACAAGAAAAAGTTCTGAAAATAACAGTAGATGTGTTCAAAAAGTTCGAAACAGTAAAAAATGTGTGGATGCAGCAGCAACTCTGAAGAAATCTGGTTGTCACCCTGCTTCAAGACTTACTACTGACGTTAATTACAAAACTCATCACTGTGTTCTACAGCTGGCCCAACCTTCCTCCAGATATTATTCACTGTGACTGTTTTTATACCTCCTTATGCTACTTCATTATTGTCTTTGAGTGTGGATCCTATCAGACTAAAAGCACTGAAAACCCACTTTTACTCAACCTGGAATAACAGAACAAGCTCCAACTTTACTCATGTTTATCCTTCAGGTTGTTGAATTCCATCTCACATCACCTCCAGATGCTCGTTTTTTAGTTGACTCATTAATCATTAAATATAACAAATGTTGTTATTATTTTACTAACTTTTAAAGGTTTCCTGTTTCTGTGCCCACATGTTTTATCATCTCATCTCAATCATTTTGAATAACGGGTTAGAATCTGAACGATTTACTGAAGCCTTGAGATTTGAATCCGCTTTTATAAGAATGATAAGTCTGTGCTCCTTGAAGCTGGAGCGGCTCAGTGAGAAAAGTGTGATGTGACATATTTTTTAAGAATCAATCAGGAAACAGAACTCACCAACATATGAATCAGCACTTGATGACAGATGGTGGGTTGTTTGCTGTCAATCAGATGTGAACAAACTCCACCCACACACGTCTGAGGATGCAGGAGAAGCAGAGTTTTTGTGACTTAAGCTTTCACTGAGTAACCAAATAACTTAAAATGCTGCTTATTGTGTTTTTATATCATACATTTTTTGTATTCATGTCTCCTACTTGGGCTGCAAGGTGGTGAGGTGGTTAGCACCGTTGCCTCGCAGCTAGAAGGTCGCCGGTTCACGTCCCGGTGAGGATCTTTCTGCGTGGAGTCTCCATGTTCTCCCCGTGCAGTGTGGGTTCTCTCCGGGTTCTCCAACTTCCTCCCACAAGGTCCAATAACATGTTGAGGTTAATTGGTGATTCTAAATTGTCTGTAGGTGTGAATGTGAGTGTGCTTGGTTGTCTGTCTCTAAGTGTAGCCCTGTGATAGACTGGTGACCTGTCCAGGTGAATCTGCCTTCACCCTGAGTCAGCTGGGATAGACTCCAGCCCCCCACGACCCTAGTGAGGATTAAGCGGTGTATAGATGATGGATGGATGGATGTCTCTTAAAACTTCAATCTAACCATAGAATCTGATGGGAACCCCAAAGAGTTGAAGCCTGTTTATGAGCTACAGCACAGACTGACCAGAGCACACTATCAGCTGTGATTCCAGGCTGCGAAAGAACATTTGTGGCGCTTTTAAAATGTTTTTACAATCGTCTGATCATGAAGTAGGATGCAGAAGCCCCCCCTCTTCCCTAACACCACCCAGATTATCATCAATCAGCAACTTAAAGCAAGACAACTTTCTGAAAATGAAAGGACTCACTAAGATGAGTTGTCAGGACAAATTGTTCTAATCTAAGGATTGAGGAATTTACAGATCAAACATTTGTCTTCTGAGCTTTGTCAAACTTTCAAATATCTCCGACTGAGCAAAGATATTCCTTTATTTCCAAGTGCCGGTGCTCAAAATCACTCCCATCTGGTGTTGCTCCTAAATCTCTGCGTTTGGCTGACCTGTGCCTGCCTTCTGTCATCCAGTGCAGCGTGCTGGATGGAGTCCAGGAGCTAGTGCATATAATCCCCCAGCATGCACCGAGCACCCGCGCATCCACAGCCAGGTTGTTGTTGCCATGAGGACAGCGGAGCAACAGGGGAACCGAGCTACAGCATCACGCTTCCTCCGGAGTTTTCAGAATGGGAGGACGAGGCTCTCCTCTTCTTCTTCTTCTTGTTCTTGTTGTGCTGTTTGCTCTCTCAAATTGCTTGTTTCATTCGAGTGCATCTTTGAGCAAGGGAATGTTTTAAGGTGGAGCTGACAGACCAGAAAGTCTTTTTGCTTTTAGATAATTGGAAAAGAAAAAGCAAAACATACACAAACAACAACAACAAAAAAAAAGAAATCATATTTGCAAAGGCACAAAACTGTGAGAATGGAGTTAACGATGACGAGCCCTTCAGCCTGAAGAGGAGGTGAGTTATCAGACTTGATTTTCCTTTTGTTTTCTTTGCAAATTACTGCAATTACGTGCCTTTTATTCAACCACCCTTTGTGTCTGAGCTCCTGGAGCTGTCAAAGCGCAGGAGAAAATGCTTGCGATTTAACCTTTGCACACTATTTTCACTCTCTTGCATGTGTGCTCCCGGTGGGCTTCAGGAGGAGTCGTCCTCCATCAGTCACTGCTGCTGCTGTCATCGCCGGCAGTCGGGCTCTGCTCCCGAGAGCAAAACAAATAACTGAGTGGAGATAAAAAAAAAAAAAACGCCTCCTGAAAAGTATCGTCTCAGACAGAATAAGAAATCATTCTGGCGTGCTGTTTGCTGAAGTTTTGAAGATTAGTGTTTCTAAGCTGCCACAGGTCTCAGAAATGAGATGATTTATGAGGAGACCCATTTGCAAAACATTACTCCTGAAATAGCTGGAGCGTAATAAATCAGTCAGCAGGGATGATGAAAACGAACGCCATGAATGTACCTCTCTAGCTTCAGTGAGTGCTTTTACATTTGTGATCACAGCTGTTTCCAACAAACCCCAAATGAAGGAGAAACCCTCGGTGTCTCCTGCGTTCTCTGTAGAGCTGCAACGTGTGAGCAAAGCTGCCAGAAACTGAGGGTGGCATCACACTCCGAGGTGTTTCTCATTTTCCCGTCTCTCTCTCTCGGCAATTTAAAGTCACACATTTGCTGACGTTTCTTAGTCATTTTATTTTACAGACTTGCAGTTTGTTTGCTGCCTAAAAAACACTGTTTACATGTTGGTATGATCACATCACCACCATGAACCACTTTGTGTAGCCGTCTGACAGTCATTCATCTTCTGCAGCACTTTTCTCAAAACTGAACATAGTTTTGCTTTTGCCTCCCCCTGCTGGCGGATTTAGCAACGGTTAAATAACAAACTAAATGAGCTTATGATGAGTTGAGATTGGAAAACGGTTGAAATAAGCATCCCTCCAATCGTGCACATCTCTGTTATGTGATTATAGTTCTAGGAATATGAAAAGCCCCGATCTTTTAAACTACCCGAACTCTTTTGTTTTCATGCTGTAATGCTTTTTTTTTTTTTATTGATAATCCCCGATGAGACATTATATCACTGTTTTATTTACTTACTGAATTTCACTCAGCTGCAGTTAAAAAAAAAGCTTTGTTGTGACCTTTGCTGCAGAAATGCAATAGTTGGTGCAATATGAGTCTCAGTATCGTGTGATATTTCATCTTCATTTGCAACTTATCAGTGTAATGAACCGTATTTAGTTTTCTATTCCAATCTTAAGTTCGCTTACTTGTTGTATTTTCAATTATGTGGCGTACTTATCGCTATAATAGGCACTGCATTTCTTACGTAATGGCATTTTGTTTTTCTGAGCAATATCTAGCAACAGACAAGACAGAAAATGTATGTTTTTTATTATCCTATCTCGTCTAATCTTATCTTATTAAGAAAGAAAAGTTGAAAATATCACAGCATCTCACAGTGGACATGACTACGGTTTAGGTTATAAATATGAAGAGTTTATTTGCAAAAACAGATAACTCCATCCTCACAAACCTTCAGAAAACCCATCGTCTACCTGAGACAATATCAATCAGTTATCTCTGTTTTTGTCATTTCTACTGAGTCAAATCCACTTAACTTCAGTTTGACTGATATTATCTCAAGCAAAATATGAACATTTTATTATTTTAATTTTTTATTTCATTCATTGAGTTAAAACAAAACAACTAAACATGACACAAACATGTCTAACTCCTGAATGAAAGGCAGCAGAAAGAAGAATAATCTGATGTTATCTGCCTCCTTTACCCGAAGAAATGCATTTACAAAAGACTTAAATTACAAAAAGCATCAACAACAACACAATAAACATCAAAATAATCATAACAAAAACAATAATAATGACATGAAATAGCACACAAGCTGTGAACATATTGGTTTAACAGTCACATTATCCTCTCCTGAAATGAAAATTAGAACTTTAATATGTCTTACAAGTTGCATTTTAGAAGGACATTAATTGAAAAAATTAGAACAAAAGTACCCAGATAAAAATGTTAATGTCTAATTTCCTCCTTAGTGGATCTGAATGCTTTATTGCATCTTATTATAAATCCTATAAAGTAGGTTTGTTAAATTTTTTCAAATTATCGTCCCGTTAACGTGACTCCATATTTTGTAAAAAAAAAAGCAAAACATGCAAAATAATCAAATAAACTCGTCGAGTAACTTGAGCCACAATCCAGCTTCCACAGTAACTGCATTACATATCTGCCAAGGAGCTCCTTTCACATCACATTCCCCCACAGAGGGACGATATTTACAGTAACTGAGGCCCAACAGATAAATCAGAGGCTCCATGTGATCCTTCATGTGGTGCAGGTTTACACTTCCTCCCGCCTCCAAACGGCACAAATTAAACACTAACAGAGTGAGGATACAACCTGCTCCTGTTGTTGTTGTGTTCGTTTAATCCTGGAGGAGATGTCGAGCTGAACTACAGCGTCTTAGATGGAAGATTTTCTGTCTCCGTCCAGTCGGTCACAGAGGCGACTGGTCTGAGTCGTATAGGAGGAGATAAGCTCTCCTGGTTGAACTGCTGGTCTTATAGAGGTCAGAGATTTACTTAATAGTGGCTTTAAAAGTGCACAGAGCTGACGCACTACACTACCAAACTAAACTCTTTAATTAAAATGTTGCTGCTGCTTGTTTAAATAGCTTGAAAATGAAGTTTAGCTGTTCCCATTTCTGCCTGCAATTAAACCTGAGGGTGGAAATTCCTTCTCGTGAAGCCAAATAACTTCAGCTCAAACGTCCACTTGTGCTTCTCTTAAGTGTCGTCTTCAGTGAGTGGAGGTGGCTCAGGTGTCAGGCTGTCAGATGGATAATAATCCTGCCGCTCTGGATCCACAGCAAACAGCTGAGGTGCCTAAATATCAGATAAATGAGGATGAACGAGACAGAGATGACGGATGATGCTGTTTTCTCTGCGGCTCTGAGATAACATCAGTTAAACCAAAGTGGATTGTTGGAAAAGTCAAAACAACATAAATATGAACTGAAGTCATTGACATTTGCGGTCTGACAAAAGCACATTTTTCTTGTTTATTTATTTTTTCTTCAGTGTAATCCTGCAGAGACGGGACAATAAATCACCAGCTGTCTGGTTATTAAAAGCTTCTTTCTGTAAGCAAAGAGAATATGCAAAAGTCAAGTGCAAATACATAAATAACTTGTGCCGAATGTGAAGCTACTCTTCCATTAACCCTCCTTTAACCCTTCCTGGCTCACTGTGAATATTTGAAACTGTAGTCAGACGTCGCCAGAAAAATATTCCCAACATCCCCGGCGATGGACTGTATCACTACGACATCTTGGTGGAAAAATATTAACACTGATAAACACACTACAGTCCAAGTTCAGATGATGTGACTTCCTCCCAGAACCTCCTCAGCTCTCTCTTTGGGATCCATTTAAACAATTTTCCAACTAAGCACTGATCTGCAATGTAAATCTTTTTCTTTGCTAGAAACATGTTTGAAAAAGTGATGCACATGTTATGGAGGAATTTTTTTCAGTGTTGCAAAAACTCACAATCAGCGAGTAAACGTACATTACGTATGAATTATTTAAATTCACATTCATTGTGCCACCTGTGGCGACATGCTGAGTAGATATAATATAAAGGTCACAGTACTGAGGTGTCATAAATTCTACCTTTGCTAAGAGTCTATGTTTTCATCCATCCATGATCTATACACCGCTTAATCTTCACTAGGTTTGCGGCGGGGCTGGAGTCTATCCCAGCTGACTCAGGGTGAAGGCAAGCATACTCACATTCACACCTACGGACAATTTAGAATCACCAATTAGCCTCAACATGTTTTTGGACTGTTGGAGGAAGCTGGAGAACCCGGAGAGAACCCATGCTGCACGGGGAGAACTTGCAAACTCCACGCAGAAAGATTGTCCTCACCAGGATGCGATCCAGCGACCTTCTTGCTAACCACTGAACAGCCTGAATGTTTTCAGTTTAGTTAATGTTGTAAAAAAGGTGATGATGACACTTTATGTTTATTACTGAGATCATCGTCGTGATGGTGGACCGACGCTGCTGCACTTTAATCAGTCTGCTGCATATATATTCTTACTTTTAATGTATTTTTACTATTTTTCATTTATTCATTTTGTACTGCACTGTATGTTTGACTGTCCACATCTTTTAATGTTGACTTTTAAGCCGGTATTACCAACAAAATTTGACTGGTGAAAACTAATTGCATAACGACAATGAAGATTCTTTATTTCACTTGAACCATATCACATTTAAAAGTGTTAACAATATCTTGTCCACTCTTTTAACTTACATGAAAAAGCCAGAAATTGTACAAAAGGTGCAGTAAAGCATGGATTACAAATACAATTTCAACAACTCTGCATATTTTACTTTTCATTTTGACTTAAAGTTTTGCTTTTTGTAAGACTTGCTGTTGGAATTTTGCACCACAGTCAAGCCAAATCCTCTAAAACAAATAAATAATAAACTCAGGATTTTCTTGATCAGCAGCTTGCTAAAAAAAAGTGTAAAAATGAGTCAACAAACTTACATTTTTAAAAAATCATGCTTGGATATCAGAGGATATGAATATCTCAAACCCCTTAATGCATAATGATATTTTATATATTTTATATATATATGTCTTTCCTACATTTTGCACTGGGTGTTCCCAATTATTCTTGCACTGACTGTACACTTTTTTTTGGAGCTGTTGTAACAGTGAACTTTCCCCACTGTGGGATCAATAAAGTTATTTTTATCTTTATCTTTAGATATAAGATAGGATATAAGAGAGGATAAAACTTTATGAGTCCTGATAGAAATTCTTGTGCCAGATATTGCTGAGAAAAAATAACATGACATGAGAACAAATGCAACAAGATATCAGTATGATTCATTACTAAATAAAAACTAAAATAAGTAAGCAAATATAAGACTAGAATAGAGAATAAGAACCAAAATGGGCAACGATACAGAACTTGTAAAGTAATATGGCACATGATCATGAAATGTTGCTCATAAAATTGTAAATTTTGCACCTAGAAATGAAAATTAAACAGATCGATGTGACAGAACAATCTTATTCCCTCTCACACTTCTTTCACAGCTGTCTGTTTCTCTCACATGCAGGCAGGCCACCAGATGTTGGAGAGGACAGCTGTGTGCCGGGCAGCTCTCTACCTGTTGGCAGCAGGAGTGGCATTAACATCTGAAGCTCGCTGGCCGTGTCCTCCGCCCTGCCGCTGCAACTCTGCCGCGCTGGAGGTCAACTGCTCTGGCGGCCAGTTTCCCAACGTGCCCGACGGTCTGCCGCGAGACGCTAAGCTCCTGAACTTAACCCATAATGCCATCAAGACTCTGGTGCATCGGCAGTTCCACGCGTTGACGCAACTGCTGCACTTGGATTTGAGCGACAATCTTTTAGTCATAATCGAAGTGGAATCCTTTCTCGGCTTGCAGAGTTTGGTGACTCTGCGTCTTTCTCGCAACCACCTGAAGATTCTTCCAGTGGGAGCGTTTGTGGGCCTGACGAACCTGCAGCTGCTGGACATAAGCAGCAACGAGATCCTTGTTTTCCTCGATTTTACTTTCAGTGATTTATCAGCCCTGCAGTTTCTGAAAGCAGCAGAAAATGATTTAGTTTTTATCTCTCATCAAACCTTCGCTGGACTAAACAGTCTGCAGGAGTTGCAGCTCGACGGCTGCAACCTCACTGCCGTGCCGACTGAGGCGCTCACACAGCTCAGTGCCCTGAGGAGGCTTCGTTTTCAGCGGCTGAGCCTCGCTTCGCTGCCAAACTACTCCTTCCGCCATCTGATGCACCTCAAGGAACTCGTGATCTCTTACTGCCCCTGGCTGGAAACCCTGTCAGGAAACAGTCTCTTTGGCCTAAACCTCACATCTTTAACCATCAAACACTGCAACCTGAGCGGTGTCCCCTACATCCCCCTTCATCACCTTGTGTATCTTCTATACCTTGACCTTTCTTTCAATCCTATCACCTACATTCATGGGAACCTGCTTGGAGATTTGCTGCGACTCCAAGAGTTCCATCTTGTCGGGGGATCGTTGCTACGCATCGAGATCGGAGCCTTCAGGGGTTTGGCGCATTTCAGATTGCTGAATGTGTCCAGAAACCTCCTCACCACACTGGAATCGGGAGCTTTTCATTCAGCGGACACCCTGAGAGCTCTGGGCCTCGATAACAACCCTCTAGCATGCGACTGCCGTTTGCTTTGGGTGGTGCGGAGGCGACTGTACGTGGACTTCGGTGGACGTCTGCCAACCTGCACTACCTCAGTCCAGCTGCAGGACTGGAACTTTCTGGACTTTTCTGAAGCAGAGCTACCGGGTCTGCTCACCTGTCGGCAGCCTCGAATTCTGAACCGCAAACCTCAAGCAGCGAGAGTAGATCAGGGACACACGGTGATGTTTTATTGCAGCGCAGAAGGCGACCCTGTGCCATCTGTCAGATGGCTAAGCCCACAGCTAAGGCCTTTAACGGCCATTGGGAGAGTACGGTCTCTCTCCAACGGCTCGCTGGAGGTTCGCTACGCTCAGCCTCAAGACAGCGGCACTTATCTGTGTGTGGCATCGAATGCGGCAGGAAATGACAGCCTGCCTGTCAGCCTTCGTGTCCGAGCCTTTCCATCATCTTCTAAAAACCCCTTTCGTCTTAAAGGTTGGCCGACATTTCCATCCGCCTCTCCGGGTGAAAATGGAGATCAGACACTCCACTTCGATGTCAAGACGCTTCTGATAGCAGCAACCATCGGGTTTGTCTCGTTTTTCAGCTCTGTGAGCCTGTGCTTCATTTTCATGCTCTTTTGGAGTAAAAGCAAAGGGCAAATCAAGCACACGGCCACCATCGCGTACGTGCCACGAAGCGCCATGTCGAGTAGTAACGGAGGGACAGGAAACTATATGGAGACGAGCCGGTTCACCATGAAACTTATATGAGTCGACAAGAATATTCACCTGATATGACCTGTAGGAGTTCATGAAGTGTAAATGTGAAGATTAATTGTATTTTTCTAGAGGAAACATAAGTTATTTAATGCAGAGAGAGACTGGTGATTGATTCCAATAAACATGAATGTGTTGTGTTTTGGACGTTAATAAGATTTTAAGTTTCATTGTTGTAATGTCTGAAGGAACGTTACTCATCAAGTTTGTTTTTCATGTCTGACGCTTTTATAAGACAGAAACTGCACTAGAACAAAGTGAGAATACAAAACAGCCAAAGTGTTCAATGAAAAAAGTGCATGTAAATTTGTAAGTTAGAGATGTAAATTACTCAGTTTACTGCTTATTGTTTTTACTGGCCATGGTAATGTTTATATTAAAAAAAAGAAATAAGGATCTTCGTAAAGAGAATGCATAGGAGAGAAGCCTACCTGGTTGTTTTGTTCATTTGATTTCTAAGGAGCAAATTAAGTAATAGACTCAAATATGGACATAATATTTATTATAGACCTCAGATTCTGGTAACCATGAGATAACTACATAGAACATCCAGCAGGAATGTTAACCTTATATTAAGGTTAGTATAAACAGCATCTGTGTACATCTGAACAGCATCTTATTTCATCCTGACTACTGTTTATTCTTTAATGATTATATGAAATGTGAGGTTTTCTTTGTTTTGTTTTTTATTCCCCTTTCTCAAAGTAGCATAAATAAAAAAAATATTATCCTTTCAAAAGTGTCACTTTGCAGTATTTAGTGTACTTATTCACTGGTTCTCGGTTACAATTTTACACAAGAAACATCAGATGTAGTGAGCGTTGTGTTGCTTTGTGAACATCCGCCCAGTGGAGCCAATTTTTCACACAACACTGAAAACACAAAGAACGGCATCCAAAGAGGCGCCACAAAGGTAGACAAAGAGCACTGGGCTTAATCTGTTTATATGTGAACTACAGGCCTACATAATCTTTTTAAGCAAAATTTTATTAGAATTTAGAGCGGATCTAATCTGAGACCTCCGCTGGTGAAAGGCGGGTTGCATTCGCAGTGAACAGAGGACGGTACGTGTGGTGAAGTGAATTCAATTATTCTACGTAATTCTATCACACTTGAGAAACAGATAATGAACAGAGTCTGTGATCTTCAGTCCACTTGTACATTTATTGTACATTATGCAGAGATTACAAGTAAACCAAGGTGGCCATGAGAGCAACTAAACATTATCCCTAAATTAATTTACAATTCTTTACCCTTCCCAATGTGTGTCATCGGCCTTCTTCATCATCTGATTGTCACCTCCTGTCGTGAGCTGCATCACCACATCCTGTGTTGCAGGCTTTGTTCACGTTGAAACCCCATACAGTCTTTGTTTAAGGTGCATCTTGTGTCCCATCAAGCACAATGATGCACGAAGAGCACACAGAGAAATCTGACTGAAGCTGTGTTGGACAGTTCACAGATGGACCTTCTTCACACACCATGATTTTCAACCTACTGGCTGTTTGCCATCATTACACATAGCTTATGTGATTATATATATCTGTATATGCACATTAAACATATGTAAACAAAGAGTTAAAATTGCCTAAATGGTTATACACATGATCATATTTTTCAGTTATAAGTGATAGTTTTTGGGGTTAGTGTCTGATGAACAGGTAAAATAAATGACTGACTTTGCCTGTACAATAATAATGTCTCTTATTTCCGACCACAATCACATCAGTGGGATATAATAAAATCATGGTGTTGCCATGACAATAGTGTCAAGCAGGAACTGAGAAGGCCTGAACTGGTTTCCATAACGACGTTATCGAAATAAGTTCAACAACTAAATAATAAAAATATGTATAATTTTATTGACAGTGATAAAACGTTATACTTTGATATATCAAGTCATTCGTTATAAATATTAAAGTTAAGATCAGTTTTAGTTTGAATATACATTTTTACTCAGGCAGTACATGGACTGACCCGGAAGTGATGCTTAGCTTAGAGAAAGCGGAGGCTTGTGCTAGCTGTTAGCTACATAATTAGCTCGTGTTTTTTGTCTAGCAAAGCAAAATTTCTAAAATACTAACGTGAATAATAATAACATTCATGGCCTAAATAATCGCACAGGCACACTTAGTAACGACTAAAAGAAAACGGGTCCCCTACAACAGCCAAAGCAGCGTAGCTCGGCTAAGTGTTTACCCACACGCAGGTTAGCATTGTTTAGAAACTACAGCCATGACTCTGGCAGTCGATCGCGAACCCAGAAAGACTGCGGGGAACCGCATGTCAAAATTACTGGATGCTGAAGAAGAGGACGAGTTCTACAAGACCACGTATGGCGGTTTTAACGACGTGAGTAGCAAAACCGATGAACACTGAGCCCGCTAGTGAGTTAGCATTAGCTAGCCCTCAGCTAGCTTCACTTCATTCAAACTTGAACAGATGAGTTTCCGTCAGGTTGGCTGGAATTAGCGGCATATCTCCCAGCAATTAGCCTCAAATGGATGGAAATACATTGTAACAGGTTCCAAACGAGGGACTACCCGATTATTGTGTTAGTATACATCATTCACAGAACTGCAGATAACTGTAATAGTCCATAACAGCACATTAGAGCCACATATAAGTCCTGCAGCTCCATTCATTAACCTGCTTATTACCTACAGGCCTTCTGCACATCTGCAGCATAGTCCTGAGGGATTTTTCATACTTGTATGGGACTTTTTGCACTGATGCTTTGTTGCTAAATTGCCCCGAATAAACATGGTTTAATAAAGGTAAGATCAGATAAGTACCCAGCAACTACATTTATTAAATTAACTAAATGGAGGCTGATATGAATGGAGGCTGGTACCAGTCACAGAACTGTGAGTGTGTTTGATGCCTGATTTAGAAGTACAAAAGTCTTTCTAAAGTTGAGGAAATGGGACATCACTCGTATTTAGTCTTCCCTCATTGATAAAAATGAAGTAGAAAAATCCTACATTTACATCATTATAATGGAATAGAGTTTGACAGCAGCATGCAGCTTCCACAGTTATTATAATGATGAGTCAACGTCTCTCATACACTATATACTACTATAACAATCAGCGGGGCTACTATATCAGACTGCAGTAGTTGTTCTGAATAAACTGGCAATTATAAATGTCTGATGTTGACAACGCCACAGTATTAGTTTTTCCAGTTTGACTATGTTCATGGGTTTTTTTAAACATTGTACCATAAACCTAAGTTTTTGGACACTGAGAAAACTTTGCATCAACTTGGGTTTTTCTAAACGTGGGCTCATCAGATGTGTTTGGAGCAACAGTGCATTGAGAGAAATCCAATAGGAGAGGACAAACGAATGAGTCTACCAAAATGTACCTCCCATTAAGGTTCGCTCAGGTCATCAAAACCACAATACCAGTGGGATTCATCTGAAATAGCGGCCGCAGAATGTTCTTTCTCAGCCTGTCGAACAAATGGTCAGCTGTAGAGACGGACCAGATGAGGCTGGATGCCAGACTTTTCCTGCTTCGCACCCAAATAGGGAAGAAAGTCACCGAACGCTGCATGTGTCATAAAATTACACGCCATTATTTGTTATTATCGCAAAAATTAATTTGCAGCTTCCACTTCAGGACGCTAATTTGTTTCCTCAATTGAAGTCTGGCTAATTTTCTTCAAACAGCTGCTGGTTCAGGGGTCAGCTTGTGTAGGGGGACTTGGCAGCGACTGCTCTGGCAGTTCTGACAAGAGGAGCTACATAACAACATCCCAACTAAACCTGCGATGCCTCCTCAGTGGTCTCAGCTGGAACTTTGAGAAGCAGCCTGTGCACATGCTTGAACCTGAATGCTAGAACATTTTGCAGCATTTTCAACCACTGACTGATGATGTTCCTTGTTAGTTTATTGGTGTTTGTATATGCTGTCCTCATTTCCTCATTTCCTAATTTCCTCATCACAATTAACCAATTTTGCAGATTTTCTTTCATCTGTATAATTAGTGTTTAGAGCCGTAATTTGTGTCTTGCTGCTTTCTAAAACTCTCTTAATTAACATTTATCTTAAGTCCGATTGCTATTTTAGTTGGAGTGTTTAATTCTCATAGCTTCATTAGATGTTTCTCAGCACACATGTTTATTACACAATACCCTGATTTACTCAAAATGGTGACGCTTTGCTTGTGTTATGAAAAAGTCTGAATACAACATTTGTAAAAGCTTGGGAGGAATTTTTTGTACCAAACCGACCCCAGGGTGTCTACTTGAACTCTTGCAGTTTCCTGTTTAGTCATGTTTCATAAATTGCTGGCTAAATGATGTCCTTTTGTTTGCTTTCAGGAATCAGGAGACGATGAATACCACGGAGAGCACTCAGACACAGAGGATGAGGTGGACAGCGACTTTGACATCGATGAAGGCGACGAGCCAGACAGTGACCAGGAGGAGGACGCCCCTCGCAGGAAAAGTCGGGTTGTCACCAAAGCTTATAAGGTATTGTAATTATATCAGGATTTACCAGTGTTTAAATCAAAGCTTTGCATTAATAAATGAATTCATTTACCCTGCCTAGTCTACATTCTTACCGTTTTAAATGACGAGCAGCCTGTTCTAGTGGCAGACTTGGATTTTTGTTGATAAATTCCCAACGTGAATGTAGACACTTTTTGTTTTTCCTCGACAAACCAGTTGCTGGCAACTTGTTTTTATCTCTGTTTTATCCTCCAAAGTATTTTTT